TGCACAAAGAATTTCCCTATCTCATCACTATAAAACTTAACTATTAATATGCTTGTGTAGTGTCAGTGTCAAACATTCGTAAAGACTAGAAATATGGGACATCACAAGACTATAAACATACAAGAATATCCACAGTGCAGTTTCTGGCTATACTATATTTCTTTGTTTCTAAGCTGTAAATTTTCCCCATACAAAGATCTCTGAAATTGGATGTATCTCAGAATCATGGGTGCTTTTTAATATAGAAAAATAAAACTTTTTAATCTGTTGGTGATACTGAAACTAGTGTGCATCTTACAATTGATAAATCTTAAAATCGAAGAAATACGGTATTTTTATTACAACTAGTGGTATTTATTTATTCCTCTCATGCTTACCCCAGTTTTCTCCCAATACAGTCAACTCTTGATATCTACTGGGATTAGGTTCCAGGTCTCCACAAGGATATAAAAATCTGTGGATGCTCAGTTCACATTATATGCACTAACATTGATTTATGTAAAATGTGAGCAACTCAAATGAGTACTGGAGTATCAGAGTCCATCAGAGTCCATTAAAACCATAGCTCTACCATCACGTCAGTCTAGTCCGCAAGGGCCTGTTCCCACAGCCAGGATTTCACCTTTTTTCAGAAGGTCAGGAGGGATGGAGCGGATCTGATTTCACTTGGGAGGTAATTCCATAGCCAAGGGGCACCACAGAGAAGGCTCTGTCTCTTGCCCCCACCAACTGCGATTGTGATGGTGGGGGGACAGCAAGCAGGGCCTTTCCCGGACGATCTTAAGGTCCTAGGTGGTTCGTAGTGAGAGATACGTTCAGACAGATAAACTGAGACAGAACCATTAAGGGCTTTATAGGCCAAAGCAGCACTTTGAATTGTGCTCAGAAGCTAATAGGCAGCCAGTGGAGCTGGCGTAGCAAAGGCGTTGTGCACTCTCAATATCCCACTCCCGTGAGCAACCTGGCTGAAGAGTACTGGACTACCTGAAGCTTCCAAATAGTCCAAATAGAGGCAACCCTACATAGAGTGCGTTGCAGTAATCTATTCGGGATGTAACCTATTCGGGAGTGTGGACTGGTGTGGCCAAGTCTGACCTCCCAAGGTACAGGCACAGTTGGAAAACAAGTTTTAATTGCGTGAAAGCACCCCTGGCCACCACTAAGACCTGGGGTTCCAGGCTCAGCAATGAGTCCAGGATCACTCCCAAACTGCGAACCTGCACCTTCAGAGGGAGTGTAACCCCATCCAGCACAAGCTGTAACCCTATGCCCTGTTCGGCCTTCCGACTGACCAGGAGAACCTCTGTCTTGTCTGGATTTAGTTTCAATTTGTCTGGATTTAGTGTCATATTCAAGGACATAGGCTTTTCCAAGGGACTTTTACATTCAGGGCACATTGTATAGACATGCTAAGGAACTAATCTCAAATTCCAATCATTGAAGAAAGGAGAGATATAACTTGAAACAGCATTCATCACCTTTCAAAATTAACATTTTTACACTTCACCATTGCACTGAAGAGGTTTCATAAGGCACACACACACTGAAAGCCTTGCTTTTTTAAAAAAAATGTGTGTGTGGTATTCTTTGAGCAATTTATGGTAGGTTGTAATGCATTCTTCGCAATGCATTATCTGTTTTCAGAAAATACCCTTCCAAGCACCTGCATAGAAACTGCAGCTAAAATCTCTGCAGTTAAAATTGCATTCTGAAGAGAGGCACCTTTTACTCGTCACGTATGGATTTCTTCTTTTGCAATGACATTTGAGGATGCTCAAACTAAAACTCCAGATAGAGATGGCTTACACTGCAAAGTATGATCAACAACAAAGATGCACTGCAGGAGTTATAAACTGAATGAACTGATTAGAAACACCTAACCCAATTTTTACCTTGGATATTTCTCCACAAGTTTTTCAAAGGATGCACAGGACTCATCCAAGCAACCATTACCAGTCATCATCCAGACATCCATTGAGCACCTGATGGCCCTTTTGCTGACAGAACTGCTGACTGAAAGGTCAGCGGTTCAAATCTGTAGAGTGGGGTGAGCTCCTGCTGTTAGCTCCAGCTTCTGCCAACCTAGCAGTTCAAAAACAAGCTGCATCATATGATGCAAGAGGCTTCATATGGACTTAGAGAACTGGCAGGAATATCCTGCCATAGCTCTCAACTCCTAGTTAGAAGGCACGAGATGGGGTGAGCTCCTGTCTGTCAGCTCCAGCACCTCATAAGGAGACATGATAGAAGCTTCCCACAGGATGGTAAAACATCTGGGTCTCCCCTGGGCAATGTCTTTGCAGATGGTCAATTCTCTCACACCAGAAGCGACTTGCAGTTTCTCAAGTTACTGATATGAAAAAAAATCCACCCTTTTAATTTCCAAGTGTGTACAGACACCTACCCACATACACTCATAACATGCATGTTTGTGCATGTGTCTGTGTGCGTGCCTTGGTCAAACAAGCATGTGCATGCTCTAAAAAATCCTTTGCAGCCAGCTAACAGTAGCTCTCACAGCGTGGGCTTCCTACATGGTTCTCTGCACTAAATATGCTAAAAACGGAATAAGTGATCAGTGGGAAGAATGTTACCTCATAAGCACCTGCAGTTTTGTTCCTATTTCTCCATCCTTGCTCAGGAAGTGTTAACTACCACCCGATTCTTACAGATAGGTAAACAGAGTGGGAAATTGAGTAGCATTCCTGTTAGACCATTTATCTAGGGACATAAAACGAGCAAAATTCCTCCAATGAAAATTCTGTAGAAATAAATGTTTGTTGCTAAACGGCATAGAAGGATGACGATTTTGGGGGAAACGGGCTCTTCTTATAACTTCATTTTCATCCTTGACAGTATGTTTGAATGGTTATATCTTAGCTTAATTAAACAGGATACATTTAAACATTTGCCCCCAGCATGCAGCTCTTTTGCTCCTTCTTTTGTGTTGCATGGAAGGAAATATAAGTCAAGGAGGCAGTCAGTTTTACCAAAGTTCAGGGACAAATCTTAGTCGTGCATGGAGTTTATATTTTGAAAAAAGAGAAGATCAGCCATTTTTTCCTTCATCCACAAATAATTAGATCTCTTTAATGGGGAATCAGTAGCCTCACGAATGTAAGTGGAGTCTGATCTATTTAAATCCATACTTATACGCTCCACCTTAAATCTGACCATGCAGATTCGCAACTATTCAAAATTTCAAGATTAAATTACCCTTCCCACCACCACCATATCCTGCCTACTAAAATCTAGATAACTTGAAAAATTTTGCTACTCACTGGATTGCTGTGAGTTCTCCGAGCTGTATGGCCATGTTCCAGAAGCATTCTCTCCTGAACTTTTGCCCATGTGGAATATCCAGGATGGGAGTGTTACAACTGGGCATCTTGATTAGCATTTAATGCCCTCACTGCTTCAAAGACTCGTTGACTGCTGCCTGGGGGAATCCTTTGTTTGGAGGTGTTAGCTGGCCCTGATTGATTCACGTTTGGAATTCCCCTGCTTTTTGAGTGTTGCTCTTTGTTTACTGTTCTGATTTCAGAGGTTTTTAAAACTGGTAGCCAGATTTTATTCATTTTCATAGTTTTCAATGAAAATGGCCAATTGCAACATTCACATCACACTGGCCTCAAGCAAGAATCAATCAGGGCCAGCTAATCACCTCCCAACAAAGGATCCCCAGGCAGCAATCAGCCAGGCTTTCAAACTACAAGGCCATTCATTGCTAGTCAAGGTAGGCAATTGCAACATTCACACTTGCCTCAAGCAGACAAGAGTTCTTTCTTCCACTGTGGACTTTCCACAGATATATAAACCTCACTTGCCTAGTTTTCCAACAGACCCCTCAACATCTGAGTATGCCTGCCGCAGATGTGGCGATGCAGAAACCAATTTGGAGGACCAACAGTAAGCCATAGTTTCTTATGTTATCCAACTAGGAAACTATAGTCATCAGTATTAAAACAAATAAATTCATTAGACTAACTATACTTGACAGGTTCCAAATGGCATAGTTTGCCATTTCATACAAAACTAGAATTATGACGAAAGAATTCAATAGTTGTTACCTGATGCTGTTTCTCTACAACATGTGGTAGATAATAGGCAATGTGTAGCTTTGGCCATTGTGTTTTGGTGGGAAGCAGAAACATGCTGCTAACAAACACAGATGTCCTCTATATATGTCTACTCAAAAGTAAGTTCCATCAGTTCAATGGGACTTACTCCCATTTTAAGTGGTTACAAGAACTATAGCAAAATGGTTTCAACAAATACTTGGAAGCACTTCTGAAAGTTATTCTTCAGCTCAGGTGCTTTTAACAAGATCACTCTCAAATGATCTTACTTCTTGTTTTCAAGCAGTTTTAAGTTCTTCCCTTTCCTTCTCTCCAGCACAGCTAAATCAGAGATCCTCTTCTAATTCTAATCAGTCTAAAACACATCTGCCGAGAATTATTGCAGAATCCAAAAATTGCAAATAGGAAGACATGCCATTAAGGTGTTCATTTGGCTCTTCTGACTGGACTAGACTTTGCATTTTAAGCAGCTGTCCAACCAACTTTGTGGACATCTGGATTGTGTTGTGACACTCAAACTGCATTTGAGGCACAATGAAAGGTATATTAGCATATGCCGGTAATCTATACAGTTTGGGTTTTTTTTTGGTCGTGTCAGGAACGACTTGAGAAACTGCAAGTCGCTTCTGGTGTGAGAGAATTGGCCGTCTGCAAGGACGTTACCCAGGGGATGCCTGGATGATTTGATGTTTTTTATCATCCTTGTGGGAGGCTTCTCTCATGTCCCCGTATGAGGAGCTGGAGTTGATAAAGGGAGCTCATCCGCCTCTCCCCGGATTCAAACCTGCGACCTGTCGATCTTCAGTCCTGCTGGCACAGGGGTTTAACCCACTGCACCACCACCTATACTGGTGAAAAGACATTCAGGTTTAAACAGGCCTTTCAGGAAAGGAAAAGAAATGCAAAACACCAATGACTTACACTTTGCTTCAGAAATATTCTGGTTAGGTGACCAGACCAGCATGCCAAGGTTCTCCCGTTCCTGAGTCCGCTTCACAATTTTAGCTGAAAAGGAAACAAATATGCAATTGGTTACAAAAATATCAGGGCGAAACCTCCAAATAGTGCTACAAAATAGCAGCAAAGAACATTGGGAAGATAAAATCACAGTTGTAAAAGGTAAAGGTAAAGGTTTCCCCTTGACACTAAGTTTAGTTGTGTCCAACTCTGGGGAGTGGTGCTCTTCTCCATTTCTAAGCTGAAGAGCCAGCGTTGTCCATAGACACTTCCAAGGTGATGCGGCCAGCATGACTGCATGGAGCACCGTTATCTTCCCACCAAAGCGGTACCTACTAATCTACTCACATTTGCATGTTTTCGAACTGCTAGTTTGGCAGAAGCTGAAGCTAACATCAGGAGCTCACCCTGCTCCTCAGGTGCGAACTGCCGATCTTTCAGTCAGCAAGTTCAGCAGCTCAGCAGTTTAACCCGCTGCACCACCGGGGGCTCCAGAATCACATATGATTAATTACTATTTCTTTCTCTGTAGGTTTTTGGGACTTGCATCTTTATATTTACACACAAACATAACGTTTCGCCAGCAATATTTCCAAACAAATGAAAAATCCTGTCATTTCCATGATCCTTATCTTCAAACATTTCTGGGAACTTTTAAGACACAACTTTCCAGAAAACTACCTCAACTGCAGAATAAGCTGGTATTTGATTCTTCTTGCACTGCCAGCCAAAAGAAAAAGAGTAGCAAGCAAAGAAATATATAAGGCAAATCATGTTGTGTCAGCAAGTATAGTTGGATCAGTTTTTTAATGACAGTAACATACAGGTAATTTCTAGGTTTAGATTTCATCTGGAGGAGAGTGTGAAGTCTGAGTAAGTATGTTCCTCCAGCTTTTATAAGACTGTAACTTCTCAAATTCATCACCTAGGTTAAATAAGACAACTGAGTGTTTCGGTTGACCAATATGGTCCAACAATTCCCCATCTTTCAAACAAAGATATTTTGGCCCTTGGGCCACATTTTTAGGATGATCACAGTTTCTGCACTCCTGCATTACAGATTAACAAGGCGGATCAGAGAACAGATTTGAAATAACTAATGAGGATGAGGTAAGCAGAATCAGGATGTGTTAGACGAGTACACAAGATAAACAAAAAATGGACGGCCTTGGTGAAGATATTAGGGCTGGGCAACCACGGAAAAATTTGTTTCTAAACTCGATTCGTTTTTTGGGTTTCTTTGCGTTTCGATATTTAAAAGAATTCTGAAATTTTTCTTTAAAAAGTTCGATATTTACGATATTTTGTAAAATTACGAAACGAATACGAAACGAATACGAATCGATTCGTTAATGGCGGACGCGACCGCGCAGTACGCTAAAAAACCTCCATATGGGACAGGGGGAACTTCTGAAGCTTCCCTCTCCCTCTGTTGTTGACTGTTGGTGTGATATTTATAATTTTTTTTCACTGATTAAACAAACAACAGCTATAAAACTTGCCCCAGACATGCGGAAATAATAACGAAACGATTTCGAAACGATTTCGAAACGAATACGAACCGAATACGAAGCAATTACGAAACGAATTGGAAAAATTCGTTTCGTTTTTTAGATGCTCCTGAATGGTTCGTTATCGCTTCGTAACAAAAAAAATAACGAATTTTTAACGAATTGCAAAATTACGAAACGAAACCGCCCAGCCCTAGAAGATATGCATCTTGAGAAAATATGATCACTACAATTACCAATCTCAATATTTGGCTCCTCTTCTGTAAACTGCAGTTTACTGAATATATATTCAGCTTTCTCTCAAAGTGAAGGCAAAATGACGGCCTCGAAAGGTGCGTACATGTGTGTATTGTTTTTATTTGTTACACATTATGTTTTTAATTTACATGGTATAGTCTGTGCAAATCTGATTGATGCTTAATGTATTGTGCTTAAAAATATTACTGGGCTCACTCCATCTTAATGTCAATCTTATAGTATCAGTCTGTCCCCTGTGACATCACAACTGCCTCCATTTCAGCTTTTGGCCTTCAAATCTCAAGGTTTGGAATAGCAGTGCCTTGGTAACCCTGGATATCATCCACAACAAGAGGAAGCTGCTCTACAGGAAACCAAAGACCAAGCAGAATAATCACACTGATAGGGATTCGGAAGATGGGAGGACATCTGCAATGGGGATCTTCATTAGATAAGTTTCTACAGAACAGAGATCCCCAACATTTATGGGCCTATGGATGCACTGGAATTCAGACAAGGACACTGGACACGATCACAAATTGACTACTATGTTAGAGGAGCACCTAATCACACAAAATTGGGGATCATACTCTTCTTTATGCAAAGAGGTTTGTGTACATATGCATAATACACCTCCTCAGTGTTTGTGTATGTTTTGTCCCTTCCTCTATTTTCTCTTTGACCTTTTTTGTTTTTTTGGTCATAAGCTGAGCTTGAATGTTTGAATGTTGGACTATGACTTTGGGGACCAGGGTACAAATCCCTATTTTGCCATGAAACCCACTGAGTGATCTTGAGGAAGTCATACTCTCTCAGCCTCAGGGGAAGGCAATGGCAAACCTCTTATGAGCCAATCCTGCCAAACATTATGATTAAATGGTTCACCTTAAAGTCATCATAGCTTGGAAACGACTCAAAGGCACACAACAACATGTCAGTAAATGAAACGATTTCTTAATTCACTGCCAGAGAAGGAGGAAGGGAACTGGCTTATCTCTCTCCAAAGAACACTTCTGTGGTCTTTGGCACAAAATGGTCATTTTCCTTCCCACTTTGCGAGGACCAGCCCTAGTGAAAAGTAGATACCACGAGAAGCCTCCACCAAGTGATCTTAATGAGCAAAAAGCTTCTCTTCCATTACCCTGGAACTAGCTTTGAGCAGGCAGATCTCCATCCACCTAGTAAGTGAATGGAAAAATGCTCTCTGTACTGTGCAAAAATTGATTGATTGATTGTTTGACTGAATGCATTTTTATGCTGCCTTTCTCAAAGTGAGGTCCATTGGAGGATTTGGGTGAAGAATATTGGCAGTATAAAGAGAAACAGAACTTTAAGAAAGATAACACAAACAGAGAAAATACCATTTTTAAATGAAAGACAACCCTGTTACCAACTACAATCAGTCTCCCTGCTGTTTTATAATTACCATATAAATATAAGGAGAATTATTTGTATTACTTTAAAGAATCCTTTATAGCAATATTCTGAAACTTGCAAAATTATTTAATTCTGCACTTAAAAACACATACCGTATATATTCGAGTATAAGCCAACCTGAATATAAGCCGGGGCACTTAATTTTACCACAAAACAACAGGGAAAACATATTGACTTGAGTATAAGCCAAGGGTGGGAAATGCAGCAGCTATTGGTAAATTTCAAAATAAAAATAGATACCAATAAAATTACTTGAGTCATCGGTAGGTTAAAAGTTTTTGATTATTTACATAAAACTGTAATTTAAGATAAGACTGTCCAACTCTAACCCATTATTCTAACCTTCTAATAATAATAGAGTAAAATAATAAATGTGATGATGATAATAATAATAATAATAATAAGAGTAAAACAATGGAAATATACTAATAGAGTAAAATAATAGATGCAATAATAATAATAAATGGAAACAATGGAAATATACTAATAGAGTAAAATAATAGATGCAATAATAATAATAAATAGAGTAAAATAATAAATGTAATAAATAATAATAATAATAATAATAATAATAATAGAGTAAAATTATAAATAACTTTGCCTCAAGTATAAGTTGAAGGGGGCTTTTTCAGCCTTAAAAAATGGCTGAAAAACTCTGTTTATACCTGAGTATATAGGGCATTCTTGCTCTTCTTTGTTCTCAGTGCAGTTTTTTAAAGTTGATGAATATCACACTCTTATTGCCATTTTGCATTTAATTAGTTAAATTAAAAAGGGAAGTACTGAAAGAAACAGGGGCAAGCCTTAACAAATTTCTTCTAAACGGACGTGATGAACTGTAACTGATCCAATACTCCGTTTCAAACCAACCAAACTGTATGCTTCCTCTGGTGAGGAAACCTCACCACACAGATGGAAAGACTTCGTATAGAAAGGAATTTGTTCCAAAGTATTGTTAAGGGTTAGAGTTAGGGGAAATTATCTGATAATCTATTAATTTTGCTGCATAAAACCAGATCTGACTGTGTAAGTGTACGTTAGTAGTACACAATTATAGTAGTTTAACACCACTATTAATTTCCATAATGATGTTGAATGGAATTCTGTGACTTCTAGTTTGAGGTGAACTTGGAATTTCCTGCCATATACACTCCTCAATCGGTTTCCAATGTACTATTCTCCTGAACAATCCCGAGAAGAGAAACTGAAGATTAAGCCATGCTATTTGAGGAAGAACTACAAAAGAGTGCAATAGACCCCTCTAGCAGAGAATTCCAAATACACCATCAAACTACAAATCTCAGGATTGAATGGGATGAAACTACTATAATTCTGTAGTTTTGAGATAATAGATGTCAGGGGGCCTTAGCACAGTGCATCTTACTGAGCCAATTTCTATATGTGGTGATAAGCATGGGTTGCTAAAGTACACCATTTCTGGGTTGTTGTAGGTTTTTTCGGGCTATATGGCCATGTTCTAGAGACATTCTCTCCTGACGTTTCGCCTGCATCTATGGCAAGCATCTTCAGAGGTAGTCAGGTCTGTTGGAACTAGGAAAATGGGTTTATATATCTGTGGAAAGACCAGGATGGGAAAAAGGACTCTTGTCTGCTAGAGCTAGGTGTGAATGTTTCAACTGACCACCTTGATTAGAATTTGATAGCCTGGAAGTGCCTGGAGCAATCTTTTGTTGAGAGGTGATTAGATGTCCCTGATTGTTTTCCCTTTGTTGTTTTGCTGTTTTAATTTTAGAGTTTTTTAATACTGGTAGTCAGATTTTGTTCCTTTTCATGGTTTCCTCCTTTCTGTTGAAATTGTCCACATGCTTGTGGATTTCAATGGCTTCTCTGTGTAGTCTGACA